GTCGTCATCGAGCCGGGCCGGCCAATTGTGCAAACAGGAAAAATGTGATCAAGAGGTTTCTATCGAATCGAAAAACAATACACGAATTAAGAAGTGATTGTGAAGCTTTCGACACGCACAAATTGTAACAACAAGAATATATGTACGAGAAAACAATTTATTATATTTTTTGGACAAAAATCACAGATTTAAAAAAATAAAAAAACTGAAAAAAGTAAACAAATAAAACAACCTGAAGATTAAAACAGAATAATGCATTCCGTTTAAATATAATGATGCCGCCGCAAAATATTAAAATAAAATTAACCACAAATTCTGCAAAAAATTATCACGCAGATATCTTGAAATTTTCCATAGAAAAAATATTTTGCCTTAAATTTTCCTTTCGTGCGATTTCAAATATCACGAGCTCGATTCGAAGATATAACTCTCATAACAGGCCGATGATCCTCACGGACGCGTAACTGGTCGACCGGACGGGCCTCCGTTTTAATTGGTGCCCACTAATTGTTAATTATCAGTGGTACCCACCCGCGGAAACCTGACGTAAGAGGCTTAAGGCCATTTACACGAGACGGGCCGAGACCCGCCTCCGCAAATGTTACCAACACCGTCGCTGATCGCCGACGCGGCGTGCGGGGGTGGCACGTCGGTTTACAACGTTATAACACACAGGGCAGGTGTGTGCATATGTAATTCCGTATGGATGCCTCCTCTGCCAGGCAGCAGCACGTGAAAAGAGACTAGAGATCCGCGGCGGTTTACATTATTTATTAGGCGTACCACCGACACGCATGCACGCCGAGAGGGAGAGAGAGAGAGAGAGAAAGAGAGAAAGAGAACGAGAGAACCAAGACAAACGGCTGCATAATCAACAATTAGCCGGCTGATATGCGCTACGTGATAGTTTTTTTAACGAACAAACGCTATCTACGTCTGCATACGTCTCACGATTAGTAAGACGCGTTTTTTCGCCTTCGGGCTCCCTTCGTGGACGCGCAACTTGTGCCGGTTAATAATTTATCACTGCGACGTTACTTCGTGATCGATACACCGAATATCACCGAATTCTGCGGCAATTCGTCGCGAAAGAAGAAAGTTCTCGTCACATCGGATACAAGTATTTTTGATCGCGCAAATATTGACATTGTTTTATCAATAATATCGGGTGCTGTTAAGCCGCAAAAAAAAAGATTGTCTCCAAAATTTACATCGCGAAAATTTGCGTCAGACAAACATAACGTCACGGAGATATGGAGCTTGTATTCGAAGCATTCTTAAAGTGCATTTACGATTCCGATTGTTGTTCGAGCGGCGCTAAATATATCGTCGAGCCAGCATAAGCCTTTATAAGCGCGTAATTATGTACTATTAATACACGAATCGTCAATGGCATCCGGCAACAGCTCTGTTACAAATTTCGGGAACAAAGGCGCGCTAGAAGAACTCGCCGATACAAGGAACAATAGTTCGCTGCGGAGACAATGAGAGCAGGCGAGCGAGCGAGCGTGAGCGGACGCGAGGAGGGTTTCCCTCTTCGACTGCTACACCGCGCGCCGAGTCACTCGGCGAGAATGCGACTCGAGTCCATGTAAAGTCACACCGCCGCAAAAGGATCAAATCCGCGGAATCGACCTCACTCGACGCGCGCGACCACCAGAGACTCCGACGCTCGACGGTTCTCCCGCACCACCGGATAGAAAATATATCGAGTGTGTGCGTCGCCGAAAGGAGGGGGAGGGCAACCGAGTCACCTCTCGAGAATGTGATTTAAGTCCGCATGAAAGACGACGTTGCGCGGAATTACAAACGGCGTGCAGTTCCGTCCGTCGATACGCCGACAGGAACGAACCCTCCTCTCCCACGCCGCGCCGCGCCGCGCCGCGCCGCGTCGAGAATACCGAACAGCCGTCTATATCCGCGCGTCCATTCAACGGAGATGTTGCCCCGGCGCGAATTGCAACGAGATAAGCTCGCATTTCTCGCGTGACTGCGAGTAGCGTAGTAATGTCAAACTTGGAGCGGGATAATTGCAATTGCGCTATTATATTATTACAACTGTTTGGTAAATTAGAGCGGGGGCTGATTAACTTCTCGGAGCAAGAGCGTATTAACTTCATTGACTGTCAAATTCACTCTATGTACAATTATATTTAAAGTAAATTATGGATGCAGTCCTGTTTGCTGAAATTTTAAACGCTCCGAATGTGCACGAGACCGCACGATATATTGATTTTCGAGAATGTGAATCGACTTGTTTAGCCGCGGAAAATGCGAGCACACGATGTAAAACCATCGTATCGTTCTTCGTATCATTCTCCGGAGAAAGAGAAAAAGAGATAGAGCGCGCAGCCCGGTTATGCGATAATTGGTCGGCGTTTTCCCGCAACTGACAATTCACTCGAAACATTTCGTAATTATAATTGCATCTTCGGTATGTTAACGAGATGGCGGGATGTATTTCCATGTTTGGGCGAACGCGGCAATATCTTCAAGGCTGCAGCGCGGCAATCGCATCAGAGGACTCCCCTTCGCGACACGCTTATTAAATAATCTAAAAGTTTACGACGCTGTAAAAATTTACGATAGGGGGTCGCAAAATATTCACGCGACCGTCTTTTGCCGTGCAAAATCTAAGAAGCACGAGTGAAAATTTAAGCTCGTCGGAACGATGCAACGGCGAGAAGCAAATCCGCATGAACGAGGCCAAGATTACCGTAATGGCGCGCTTTACGATTACAGTTATCGAGACGGTAATCTGCAAAAGCCCGACGTTAACCGCGAAAACCAGTCTTGAGGTTCTCTCTCTCTCTTTCTCTCCTCTGTCGTTCGCTAAAACCGAATCCTTCGTACCTTCCAAACGCGTCGAGCATTCCACGATATTCGGAATTAACCGATATTTAACTTCACTGCAAACTTGCAATTACCTTTTGTCTTCTAAGTTTTATTTTTGCTCCACCGCTAATGGTTTCGATTAATGGTTTAATCTTGCAAACATGCTACATGATAAAAAATTCAACATTAAAATTTTAGCGATCATAAAAGGAGAACCTAAGAGTAAAATGGAGCAGACCTCAATTTTCAATCGCCAGAACTCTTTTCGAAATGTTTTAGAAGCTCTAAGTCTTTAGAAAAGTGTCAGAATTCTATAAATTATTATCAAAGTTCTGAGGAATAAATCTCAGAGAAAGATCATTCTATTTGACATAATTATGCAATTCTTTAATCTAAAAGTATAAATTCGCAAAAGAAATTTTCTTAAACTTTTCTCGCTAAAGATGTTGAAATTATTTTAAGATATTTCATATCTTCTTATTTCGCAAGTCATAATTATTTAAATGCGACACGCAGTCATAAATCTCAACGTCGACATAAGATAAGCAGAATGCATCTACGATGCGCACAAAGATATCGCAGGCACTTTAACGAACTTGCGATTTAATTAATATAATTGTCCCGCCGACGATGCGCACCAGAGCGCTTTTACGGCCGAGAGAGAGGAGAGAGAGAGAGAGAGAGAGAGAGAGAAAGAGAGAGAGCCGCTCCTATTTATTTGTAACTCTCGTCGTCGTAATACACCTGCAAGCATTAACTGGCGCTGTGATCAATTAATTCCCATTAATTGAGAGAGAGAGAGAGAGACAAGATACATACGCCTGATGAGTTATGATTGAATCGCGATAACGGGCTGTATCCGCTTACAGTAAATTAACCGGACGCTCCACCGCGACGATACGTCGTCCCTCTCGATTGTAGAAAGAATTTTTAATTATCTATCGACGACGAATGTCAACCTACGAACACGATCGAGAGCGCAATCAGATTCATCCCGCCGATTGATTCTCCGATTTGTTCTGAATTTTTTTTCCCCTCAACGCGGAACTTTCTAATAGCTTTCTCGATCAGAAAATCATTTCTTCCTCGAGATTACTTATCCGCGGAAAAAAAGTGAACGTAAGCTCACGTAAACGTAAGCGAAAGATAAACATGCCGAACAGGATATCGACAGGAGAGGATGAGGGGCGGAAAATTCTCGGAATTCCGCGGAAATATTCTTTCGCAGGTGGCGACGGTGGATGCGACGTTCCCCTTCGTGCGTCTTTCGTATGCAACTGTGACCACCGCCTAATACGCGGCGCAGCGGCACATACTAATTAGCTTTGCAAGCGAAACGCGCCATGAATACAACTCCACGTGGAGAGAGACAAACATTAGATACGGGAGCCACGGTGCTCGAGGCTAGGTCGAGGCTAAACCTCGAGGGGCACTTCCCGTTGCAACGACCGGGACAAAGGGCCGTTCCGCTCCCCCCCCCCTTCCCGACCCTGCAATTTTCAAGAAGTCGCCGTTTATTTTGAGGGCACTAGAAAATTTGAAAAATTACGCTCAATTTTGTAACGGGATCTAGAGTATAGTAAAATGCGCAATTCAGGCCGAAGTCACGTACGAGTGCTAAATCAGTGCCCTTCGGGATCGAGGGTTTTTCGCCAGTAACAGATGTTCGAACTGTGTGAACGCATTGTTTACGTCGGGGTCGAGTGGCAAATTTCACGCGGACTTGCGGGGACATGAAGTGCAACAAACGCACTTGATGTCCCGCTGCAAGACACCCGTTTTGCAGCAGGATTTACGGGTAAAGGAATTCCTGAATACACACCGGACACATCTCGGACATATGCCTCGCCGGAAACTGATAGAAATTCTCGAAATTTATCGTTGACGATAATTAACGCGTCTTAGCCACCGCGTTGCTATTTGATTAATGTGCGCCGACACACGCTGTCCAATCCATAAACTATTCGCACAGTTAAACTCTGTGGCCTATTTTAGTAACTAAAAATTAAAGAATAAAAACATCTTAATAAAAAAAAAGATAAGATAATCAAGTTGCAAAAATTTTCTCGTCCATCACATTGTTCGTGACTTCATCGAGAATTCGTGCAGTGTACGCTGTCTCGTATCGCGGTGTGTGCTTTCCTCGATTCCTTTCGTGTATTTACCCCGCTTTCCTGCCCCCCGTATTGTTTCCAATAACTGGGCGACGAGCCAAGTTGCATGATCGAGCCAGTTCCGGATAGATTACTCGGGCTGGACGTCTGAAATCGGTCGGACGCAGGCGCGTTCTGCATCTGCCCAAGCTGATTCGAACTGCTCCCGTGCTGGTTGACACTGGACGTCATCAGCGAGTTGCACGAGTTGGCGCGGGAACGATTACACGCGACCTGCAGCAAGTTCGAGCCGCTCGCGAGTCGACCAGAGCTGTTTATCGGAACCTGCTGCACGCTCTCCGTGCGAACATACCGCTGGCTGACGCCGTGGGCACCACGCCGAACCTTGCACTGACTGCTCTGACCGACGGTCTTCGATTCGTGACTGGATTTCACGTCGATCCCGAAGTCGCTCAGCTTGAAGTTCTGCTGATTCATCTTGAAATCCGCGTTGTTCTTAAAACTCCGATCCATCTCGACTCCGCTCGAATTAAATTAATTTCGACGAATTATTATGTTCGGTTTTTTTTTCGCCGACGCTCAACATGCCTCGATATCGAACGCGCCTATTAAATTACCGAACAACAGGAATGTAGCGCTTTTATCGCTAATTTGTTCTTGACGTCTTAATTGTTATCCTCACAAAGTATAGAATTGCAGAATCTCATAAATCAGTCAGAAATATCCATGTGTTCGTTATTGCGCAGTCCTTGTCCTTGCTATCGTTGAATATTTTTTGACGAGCAGAATTTCTCGGCGCTAAGTGAAATGGGAGATGAAATTAATTGCAGATGGTTATCGTGGCAATACGTTTGACAATTCACCACTAATCGCGCACCGCTCACCCGCCTTGACACGGATCCGATCCGATATCGTCGCGCATAGTCCTTCCAAGCCGCGATCTTGCCGCCGCGATTCCTCGATCGACACTGCGTATTCCGACTCGGATACTTTTGAACGTCTTCCAATATTCGCGAGTCAAATTTTCACTCGGCTGGCACAATCCGATTTGGCTTGGCGATCGCGCGGATTCTGTCACCATCCAAATAGTAATCGTAGCGACGGAACGACCTTGCGTCGAGAGCGTGGCGGAGCGACGCTATTTATCACGCGACCACAGATGCTTTAGGCGACGAATGAACGTTTAGCGAAACCCGAGAACTCGCTCGCGCGAATCGCCCGATCGCAGATTGCCGCGGGAACGATCGGTAATTATTGCGGATCGAATCGGCGGAACGTTTCGTTGCACTCTTTAGTTCGCGAATACCGCCACCGCGATAATCGTTAATCACCAGTGAAAGTTGCGGCGCGAAACGCTCGAGTTTCGCGGTGGAAAAATCGCCTTTGATTTCGCGCCTCGAAAAACGCTCCGAAGACGGAGTTCTCGGCGATTCGATGAAGCGAGAGAACTCATCGTTGAACGGCGATATTGCTACCGCTGACACGTTCAATACTGTGACAGTCGCCGATAACGCGGCTATATTTATAAAACAAATCACACTTATATTCACAGCGTTGGACATAAAAATCTTTAATTAAATTTCTGTGTAAATGGAGCGAGGGCGTCATTAAAATCGAGCGTCATTGAATCGCGACGCGACACGAAGAAATTATTTTTACAAAACGACACCGGCCATGTTACTACGCGCGCGCACACACACACACACACACACACACACACACACGGCTTCGCCGACACTTTCACGGGCCACTACCGTAATACGCGAACTCGCATCGACACGAACGCAATTGCATCACGCAGTGTCATGCACGACTCTTTGCCACAAACACACAACGATTCGCGGTGCAGCGTCCTCTCATCCGATCGGCCCGTCGCACCGCTCGCACATCGTAGATGTTTCTACTAGCCACGCGGAATATCCACAAATAGCGATTACCATGTTACACGCACGCGAAATGTCCCGGCGGCGGAAACAATCGACAGAGAGAGAGAGAGAGAGAGAGAAAAACAGAGGGCGAGAAAGAGGATTAGAAGGCAACGGCCAGCTGGTTAGCCAGTAGAGAGACGACTGGTTTTGTGTTACGCGACTCATAGGCTACACGCCACGGCACGGAGGAGGCTGGGGTCCAGCACACCCCTCCACCAGACGATACACAGAGCAAGTGTGCTTGTCCCCCCTGCGGTACGCACGTAGAAGTCCCTCACACGTGTGTGCGTGCTCGTACCGATGCACTCTCGCTTCGTTGTACACCGCGCGCTTCTCTTTCTCTCCCGCTTCTCTCGCAGCACGACACGGCGGAAAGGAGACGGAGAAGTTTGCAATCTTGTTTCGCGCGTATGCACTCCGCCGCAGACGGACTGCAAGCGTTGCACTCGGCGTGAGAGTCGAATAACGTCTGCGCGCGTAAAAGTCGTGGGAATTAAGATCGGGACGTCGTGGCGGAAGCGATACATGTGCATTGTCGAGCAATGACGCTATATATATATATATGATTTATTTTTTTTTTCTTGCATTTCAAACGATTGCGCTGTTAGAACATTTTTGCATTCTCGATATAAATTCCAGAGTGATTTTGCAATATTTCTGATGTTAATTAAATTACGGGATTTAAGCGGCTATTGTTTCGATAGTTTTCGATATAAACTAAACTCGTGCGCTTTCGCGATTGGTACAGATCGAAACCGCAAAAGAGCTTGTAATGTTCCAGATAACGTCTAATTATGTACAGCGCAACGTTCACTCGATAATAATGTAGATCATAGAAGAGCGCGAACGGAATCGGATATTGATTCGAGGGGGCGAGCGTTGTTTACAACGGTGCCTATCTGCCCCTCGTTTCACGGCGGATCATTAATCGTGAATCGGCGCGATATCTTAATCGCCTATTACTTTCCGCTTTTTTACAAGAGGTCAAATACCTCGGCGGGGCATCGGGCACTATTTCCAAATGCCCATCAACCGTGTTGCGATACTATCGCGATATATAAGCCGGCATTCTCTCGCTGAGATTTACGAAATATTTAAATTCTTAATTATCCGCCTTATCGGCAAGCAGAAAAATTTGCCCATCCCTTCTATGTTGCGCCAAGCGTTGAAAGATAATTTCTCAGCGCTAAAATGTTCTTCTTTCCGCTGCGAATTCCATACGAAATGTCTGCAAAACAACGAATAAAAATAAAATCTGTTAATCCTAAATTTAGCAAATCGGAGAAACCTAAAACTTTGCATTAAAATAAAGAAGAAAAAGAATTGTACTAAAATAATGTCAAACATTTAGAAAAGAGCCGCTCGTCAAAGTGAATTCTGTCTGAGAAAAAAGATTCCCGGCTAGCTTTAAGATTAGCTTTGAGACTAATTCGCTGTAAGAGCTGATAGAAGAGGGAGTCAGCGCACTACAACTATTGTAAGCCACGTACGTACAATTGCGCTCGACTCTCTCGAAGCTTCCAAGATGTAGTTGTATCCCGCTGCACTGCGCCGCTGCATCTCTCTTCTCTCTCTTTCTAACCAATGCTCGTTGCGCACCGTTGCGGGAATACAGAAATAGTTTATCCGCGGAGGGATTTCAGAAGAGGAGGTCGGAAAGAGAGAGAGAGAGAGAGAGAGAGAGAGAGAGAGAGAGAGAGAGAGAGGAGAGAAGAAGAAGAAGAAGAA